ACATATTTATAAGATTTAATTAATTTAATTATCGGGTTGAACCGATTTGAGCTCGTTTCGACCTTTTTACTCTTGATCCTTTTCATTTTTAAGTCAATGTCGGGTCCAATTTTGAAAACATTGCGTCGTACGATAATTGAGGGATAAGCAGTTTTAATTGTCGTGTTCATGAAATATTCCCCTATTTTCTAATCGAAATTTAAACCTTCTGGTAAGGCTATTTTCCTTTGGAAAAACAAGAAAATCACAAATTTTGCTAGGCGTTCATCTAATGTAACCTCCATTTCGCTCAATTCTTTTTCTTATTTTTATACAGTGATTAACAGATCATATTAGTATTAGGAAATTAAAGTGAGTTAAATAATGAAATTATTTGATAATTCGTGAAATTTCTGTTTAGATTTTTACATATTTATTTTAGCAAAAATGTTAGAGCATCGAAAATGGGATAGATTCTGGTTCCATTAGTATTACTACCTTGGCTCACGTGAAAGTGAGGCAAGCTATGTCGAACTCAAAAACCACATGTCACATACTGGCTATGTCATCATGAATGATCTAGACAATTCAACGAACCTTGGGATGCCTCACCCTAAGTTTTGTCAAATAAGATAAGGCTTCGAGCCCTGCTCGTCAATGAGGAAAAGCTCATCAAAGATGGTTCGTGTCTCAGCAATCCTAGGTGAAACAAAGCAAAGCTTAGCTCTCCTTCTCTAGATGCAAGTTAATTGACAAACTTATTTGCTTGTGGAAGTCATTGAACTCTCATACGATGCCAAAAGAAGGGGCAAAGCACAACATGTGACTTCATATTTTTGGATTCCAATAAAGGAAGAAAATAAAAGTCTTTTTGCCATGTCGTAAGAAGCCCATTGTCACATAAGCAGAAACATTAAAAGGTGCAAGCATAATCAGCCAAGAATAAGTTGATTTATAAATGCCTCGTCAATAAGAATGTGTGACTTGTCCGAATGAGTTAAAAAAGGTTCAAAATATTCTTGATTTTAGGCTCCGTTTGATACGCATATTTTCCATGGAATTTTTTTTCTCATTTTTCAACTTTTGTAGTGTTTAATAGACAATTTTTTTCTGACCATACTACAAGTACATAATCATTTACATAATACATTACATAATTGACATGTGACGCGCATCCATCGGTAGTCTACAATTTTTGACTTTTCCACAATGTACGTCCACGGCCGGATTTCTTCCACATGGGCATATGTAATCTATTATGTACAATAATTATGTACATATAGATTTATCATTGTCAATAAAAATGATAAATTTTTTTACCATTGTGTCTAGAATTTTTTTCAATTGCACAAAAAAAAAAACAAAAAAACAAAAACCTGGAAAATATTTACTAACCAAAACATCAAGAATTTATTTTCCTGAAAAAGATGGAAATTTTGGAAAGTTGAAAAATATTTTCCCGGGAAAATTTGGATAAATATATATGTACATAATTTTTGTATATAATGGATTATGTAAAATAATTTTCATACAAAATAAAGCCAAACGAATGGTATTCGACATGATAATTTTTTTTTCAATTTTTTTTTTTAGCAATTGGAACAAATTCTAGATTCAATGGTAAAAAAAATTATCACTTTAATGAACAATTTTCATTAAAAAAAGGAAGCCAAACAGAGACTAAACTTTCAACATTTTCCATAAAAAATTATACCAATTAAATACAATTAATTACAGTTCTCAATCAAACAAATATTAGGCAAATCAATTCCCTATAAAACATTTTCTTTCCACTTATTTTCCACATTTACAATCAAACCCGTTTTCTGTTTTCAATTTTTCAAAACAGTAAAAACGCGTTCTCTAACCTATTTTCGAAAACGTGTTTTGAAAAATGGAAAAAAATTTTACACTAAAAACGGAAAATGGCCCAAACATCATTTTGGAAAACATCAG